TCCTTTAATATTGAAAGACATATGATCAATTCCTATCTTACTTCATTTTTACATAAACTCATATATTTATAATACCAATTTGGATTTTGTCGAGTGTATTATCTATGGATAGTGAACTAGGAAAAACTTGAATTATTATAAATAATACAAAATTCTAATCTATCATCATTAATTGAAAAGACTAATGCCAGCAATGTCATATGATAACACTACAATATGATGAAAAATAAAAATATGGATGTTATTATAGAAGAATCTAGTAGAAAGATATAATAAAAAAATAAAGATAAATAGTAGAAAGATAGTAATTTTTTTGATCATAATGCTATTTTTTAATAGAAGAGATTTTTATTTATCTTTTAGAGGCATAAATAAGCCAAATCAAGATAAATGAGATAAAAAATTAATATAGACATGTTTAGGAGAGAATTTAAAATAAGTTAAAGCAATAATTACTTCAAATTATTGAGAATTAATACCTCAAGAAGATCAATCATGAATCAAAGTTAAAATAAGATCCAAAGATACAAAACTATGCACCTATGGTAATTCCAAGGTTCTTTGGTTGATTAAAGAGTAGAATTTGAAAGAAGAAAAATAAATATATATATATATATATATATATATATATTTGAGTATTGATTTTAAGTGATTTAAAGGCATAACCACTTTGAAAAGACTTTACAAAGTTAGGGTTGTTTTTTAGTTGCTTCAGATTTTGAGAAATTCAAAGAGTTTGTACTTTGGAAAATTTTATGAAATTTATAAATAATCTATAAGTGAAATTTTGTGATTAAGTAAAAATTATTGTGTATAGCCTATATTATAAGTTTGAACTTGATCTAATAGTTTGGATTAAAGTAAAATTTTGTACATACATAATAAGCTTGAATTCCAACAATCATGCAAAGTTTGAAATCTATTGAACGATGAAATTAAGAGATTTTGGCTTTAGAATATTAATATCAAGGTTGAAGAAGGATATAAGCCAATACCTAAGTAAATTTTAGGAAACATCTTCTATTTGATATTTTAAAACTTCTTCAAGTTTTTTGTACTTTTTGTCAATTTATTTATTAAAAAGTATCAAATATTTAGCTAAAATAAATAATTAAATTATTAATTATTAAGATTTTGGATTTGGTTAGAATTTGATTAGGATTTGATGTAGAGTTTTGTTAAAATTTAGAATTTCATTAGAATTTGGTCTAATATTTGATTAGAATTCATTAGGATTTTATTATGGTTTGATTTAGCATTTATATAGGATTCATTAGAATTTTATTAAAGTTGGTCTAAGATTTAGGATTTGTATAGGATTCATTAGAATTTCATTGAAGTTGGTCTAAGATTTAGGATTTGTTTAGGATTCATTAGAATTTCATTAAATTTGGTCTAAGATTTAGGATTTTATTAGTATTTATTTAGGATTTACTTAGGATTTATTTATAATTTCTATTTTTAGTATTTAATTTTTTTTATTTTTTTAAAAAAATAATTTTGAATATTTTTAAGGTTTTTTATTTTTTTACTTCTTTAAAATTTCTTTATTATTTTTTCTTTAAAATTAATTATTATTTTTTATGTTTTTTTTGTAACTTTTTTTAAAAAAATTGAATTTGATAGAATTTGATTAGGATTTTTAAGAATTATTTAAAGTTTATTTAAGGCTCTATTAGAATGGTAGGATTTTGTTGTTACATTTTTAAGAAAGAATATATGTAATACAATAAGAGTTGAAGATTTTGATAGTTTTAAGTTGGTTTGGAATTGAACTCTAGCCACCTACATTGTAGACCACTTTTCATATTATATTTGTATCTTGATTCTTTATCTTACTATTTAATGCTTCTTCCTAGAAGTATTTAGTTGATTCATGGTGTAATGAAGCGAAAGGAAGAAAAAAGAGTTAGTATTTCAATTGTACATTTTGTCAAAAGTATGGTAGTATTTGGTAATTTCATGCCAAGTTGAAATAAGCAATTAGAAATCAACTTCAATAATTATGAACAAGACCAATATAGTAGAAAAAATGAGCCGAATTCTCCTATTGGAACTCAAATTGACAATTATTAGGCACTTGAGATTTTGCAATGGTAGAATATGAGACTTTCTTGAAGTAGTATAATTAATAAAAGAACAAAGAAATGTAAAAAAAGTATCATTGAGTAGGATCAAGGCAATAGGATTCTAAGCAAGTTTAGAAGAGGCCATCAAGGACGAAAGAAGAATAGCTCAAGTGGAGTTGTAGATATGACAAGGATGAAAAAAAGATCGGAGTATTGCTTTTCACCAACTCTAATGTAGAGGACATCACATACACTTGAATAGAATTAAAAGATGTCAATAATAAGCAATATCAACCACAAGAATCAAGGCAACATTAAAGTGACACTATCATGGTATAAAAAGATTCTTTTTAGAATAATGAGCGATAAGAATGGACGTAATAGAGCATCATTAAGATAAAAGTATTAGGCATGCAATAATAAACCATGATATTTCATATTCAACTTTCAAGGGTTGGAGTTATGATGTGTAAATATTCAAAAAGAAAAAAAATTCAAACGATATTAATTGCAAAAGTAGATAGTAAGCTTCTTCAATATATTCTAGCCATTTGTATGAAAGGTCTAAGTCTAAATACTACAACTTTTAAAATGAATTTTTTTGAAATAACTAAGACTTAATGTACCATATTCAAAAATGAGATTTTAAGTGATAGGTGGTTGAGATGGTTTAAAATTTTCATTTAAAACTCATATTAATGGTGGCACAAGCCTTCACATCATTTAGAGCAAAGACACTATGCACAAAAAATGCATAGAGTTTTTATGATAATTTATGAGAATTATATACCTTGTATGTATATTCTTTAGATAGGATGTAGAATTATAAGAAGTTCAATGTGCAAGCAGGAAGAAATAATGGTAAACCTGTTATAACTCAAAAAAATGCTTATTGGAAACATTTGATTTGAAATGGTCAAATGGCGTCCAATTTTGGTTTGTATCAATACATTAGGATTAGCCATACTATCCTTCTATATTTTTACAAAGAAGCATTTTTGCCAAATTACATAGAGTGATGTGAGCCAAGTGCTACTATGGCAATGTAATCAAAGGCTTGGATGATCAATTTTTTGTTTTTTGCATGGATTTTTCACTTTTGTAAGAGCATGAGACAACTTGGTGACATTTCTCCTATCTAAAGACATCTATTCATCCTTGATGGACATGTAGGCCATATTTCTTTAAAAGTAACAAAAACTAATACAAAAAGTAGGACTAGACATTCTAATCTTATTATCTCACACATCCCATGCCATACAGCATCTACATACATGTATATTTGGACTATTCAAGATCTATTTGAAGGAAAATAGATATTAATTGGATATTTAAAAATTTAAATGAATTTGCATAAAAACAAATTCTTGTACATTAGGTATTTTTAAACTTGAAGCAAGCTTTGATATTAAAAAATATTACCAAAATATATATTATTTATTATAGAATGTAAACACTTAATGGTAGAGTATAAAAGAGGGGCAAAATTCTTGGCTCCATTTTTAACATGTACTCTTGCCATGCATTGATTTGTAACCTCCAACATACAATTTCAACTCGTGAGCAGTACAAATTTTGTATCTAAAAGTTTGTTTTAAAATTATGTCACCTTTATACAGTCCATGTAGCAATCGTAGTAGTTGTTATGATTCCAAACCTCACATAATTACAACACATTCCAATACCATACCATGTGCAAATTGCATGGTTTATACAATCCAATGTTCGTGAGAGAACTTAAGAGGGTTGTTAGAGTAGGGTTGAAGGATAAAAGATTAGAGAACTAAGGTTTGGAGATGAACAAAAATGAGAGAATCTAGTTGCAAAAATCTCACTTAAAACTAATTGATTATTTAAAATCAAATGTTTAAATTTTAATTACCTCATCTACATATTATCATCTTTAGGTAGCATGGTATGGAATATAGCTTGAAAGCATATTTACATGCTACGTTTTTCAATTAGAGGAATCAAGTAGTCTCAATTTTGTAACTAAAAATTGGTTGGAACTATGTTAACTTATATAATAAATGCATATCAAACAGAATCTTCAACTAAAAAAATTCATAGTACTTTTGTTTTTGGATAGAATAATGTGAATAAACCTAAAATCCCTGTGAATTTTATTTCCCTATATGAAGATTTTTTTTAGTTTTTCATATCCATACTACAAATATGCTAAAATGCTTAAAATTTTCCTAAATCCATTCATGAATGAAGAAAAAAAATCACCATGATACATGGTCAACACCTATTCCTTTGCAGCCTCTTTGCTTAATTGAATAAGGTGTCAAATTAAATACATCTGCTACAAGTAAGTAAACTGAATTTTCCTCTTGATGAACACTGTTTTCAGATATTCATCCACAGAAGTGCTGTGCGATAGGGCCGATTCTCGGCGGCTGTTTGCGGCGACCTCTTCTTCGAGCCATGGATTTCGAGAGAGCGAGTCTGGAAGCTAGACCCCCCGATCCAGCCATGTAGCTATGAAGAATAGAGGGTGCACTACAGAACCTAATCCTGCCGCTGGAATGCGCACGACCGAGGTTCCGAGCCGTGGAGCCCCAACTCTAGGAATAAAGGTGTGCCTGAAATGAACAAAAGTGACAAAGGTGGCGCGTGTTATGAGATAAGTTGCCGAAACCGAAGGATGGTATGAGTGACGCTCGAGAACCAGACCTCACCAGGCGATACTACCCTGTCCGAACCTAGTTTTCACCACTGAAAACCTGAGATCGGTACATGTGTGAACGTCTTCAATCGAAACAGTGGTGTGTGTGTGTGTGGGTGTTTCGTGCACGAAGTAGATGATGTGGGTTGCTAACAACAGAGAGGAGAAAGAAGTACGAAGGAATCAAAGGGAAGAGTAGAATGGTTCCGGAGGCGCATGCCAAAGCTCGAAGACATGCGCTTGTGCGAGAGTAGCTGCTCAGCGTCGCCAAAGCTCAGATTTGACATGCTCGAGAGTCTTGTTTCAGCATGCTCTCAGCTTCGCACTCGTTCTTGTGTTCGCCCTCCTCGTTGTCGTCTGTGAGACTGTCGCCTTTCCTGCACAATGCTCCTCCCTCGTATACTTCGTGGAGCTTTGCGTCGCTCAGGAGCTGCGTCTGTTCTCGTCCCTTTGAGAGTGCAGGATTAGGAGCGGTGTTGGATCAGGCGCACGTAAGGAGTTGTTGTTGGAGTGATGGAGTGACGAGAGTGGATGGTGCGTCTGGCTGTGTGAGGACGAGTAGTACTTGTGCTGGAATTGGAGTGTTCTCGGTTGCCAAGCAGGGACGTTCCTTCTCGACGTCTGTTAATGGCCTGGCGTCTCTAGAACCTGTGACGAATGTGGGTGTTCGCGAGCAACATCCGAGTCGCGACACTCCTCTGATGGCTCAGGTGTGAATTCCCCTGCTTTGATTAAAGCGAAAGGCTTTTTAGGGTAGTCCGTCTCTTCTGAGTCGCTGGGAGTTACGGCCTCAAAAAAGGTCTAAGAGCTGATAAATTTTGTTGCCAAACCCATATCGCCGTTGATCCCTTTGCTGAAGGACGCCAGAATTTGAATAAATTGCAATTTCTTGCGTAATTACCGTCGTTTCTTCAGTGAAACTGATTTTCTGTGTCGTCAGAATATAATTCTGCTAGTGTGTACCATGTTGCCATTTTCAAGCCTCTAAGTCTGTTTTAGATACTTGTTGAATTGTGGCGAGTCCAAAGTACGCCAACTCGTTTCTTGAGCAATTGTTTTTTCAGGCTCTGTCATCCTTTGTTGCCATGAATTTTAATTGATAGATATGTCCACACGATTAGGACGTTGTCATCTATGAGCAATTATGCGTTTCATTACGACTCGGGTGTATAGGTGAACCAAACTTCTCCTCCGTCGCGAAATAACTTGGAAACCTTTGGTGCAGACATCAAATGATACTTCTGAATCACCACAGCTGGCAGAGGAGCTTGATGCTTCTGTGATGCCCAAGCACGTTGCCATTATCATGGATGGAAATTCACGGTGGGCAGAGCGCAGGGGAATGCCTGCAAGCATGGGGCACGAAGCCGGAGTGCGATCTCTCAAGGAAGTCGTTAAACTAGCTCACACCTGGGGCGTCGAAGTCCTTACTGTCTTCGCTTTCTCTACAGAGAATTGGTTGAGGCCGAAGGTGAAACTCTGTTTCTACTCTCCATAGTTCGTTAGTTGCCATGCTAGAACCCATCGTGGAGGTTGGATGGAGTTTGCTACATCGAATCTTCTTTTGCGCACAGGTGATTGTTTGCGGCTGATTGTGTTGGGGTTGCAGATGGAGGTTGATTTTTTAATGATGTTGTTCGAGAATGTTCTAAAGAATGAGCTGAGCAGCCTAGCCAAGTAAGTTCTAAATCCTGCATTGAACATCATTTCTATTTCTCAATTCAGGACCATGAAGCTCCCTACATACGGAATTTGTTAGCAGTTGATTGGGACTTGTAGTGTGCTTTGCCTGAACTTGGTCCTGATTGGGGGTTAGGACCTTGTATTGAAACAGAGAGAATGTTCGCGTGCACTGTATGGGCGATTTAACATTGCTCCCAGTCACGTTGCGGGACATGGTGACAACAATAGAGGATCACACAAAACACAACACGGGTCTCAAGTTTTGCATAGCCCTAAGCTACAGCGGCCGATATGACATAGCCAATGCTTGCCAGAGACTGGCGGCCAGAGTGGAGACCGGAGAGCTCAGCTCTTCGGACATTACTGAAGCTTCAATCGAAGAAGAGTTGAAGACAAGCTGGTTAGGTGATGTTCGGAATCCAGACTTGTTAATACGAACGAGTGGAGAGCAGCGGCTTAGTAATTTCCTTCTTTGGCAAACAGCATATACAGAGTTTTATTTTGTAGACATTCTTTGGCCAGATTTCGGAGTTGTTCAATTTAGAGAAGCCCTACTGGCTTACCAGAACCGGAATAGACGATTTGGCAAGCGCAAGTAGAGCAACCTTCCACATGTTCAAAAAAAAAAAAAAAAAAAAAAAAAAAACTTACTCATTGAACCATCATTTCCCTAACTTCCTCGTAGTCTGGTATGGTACGAAGTGATGATTTTCACTAATTATAGTAATCTTCATTTCTCAACTTCTGACGAACTGCTGGATTCTGACGTCTCTGCTAGGCCTGGGTTTGTTACCAACCTGTGCAGGTTCTGGTATGTGAGCGAAAACATAAGCAACCCAGTACAAAATGTGTTAATGTTCAAAGCCTCTGCTGAGAATCTGAAACGTTGGTTCTTTCGGATCTGTGATACAAAGGGTAGCCGATTGTAGATGATCTGATTATGGTCACAGTTGCTCTACCTGTGGGTGCATGACCTGTTCAAATCAACTGAGTAAATTCATCATGTATACCACTTGTCAGAACTTGGGCATGTATGTGTACACTCATTTGCACTCTCTTCCATATTCTCTCACACACACCAAATGTGTACACCCTTGTAAAGAATTTCATAGCAACGTAGTTCAAAACTTGTGCTAAGGCAGAATCTTCTCAAGATGTTGAAGAGAACATGTGCAATATCATCACACAAACATTTTCTTCAACATGTTTAATCAATTTGAATTATGAAGGAAAGGTATTGTCTTTGAGCCACCAAAATTTAGTTATATTTGTCACACATACTTTGGACCATTTATGAATCTTTTTAAAAACATTTGATGGGAGATGATTAAGGAATTGAAAACATGTAAGAAAAAACTTTGGAGGTTTGTGAAGCAAAGAAAGGTGGCAACAATATAAAACTATGGAAGATGTAACATCATGTCTTTAAAGATAGAATTTATAATGTTTTTGGTTATTAAAAAGAAATTTTCTTTATAGTTTTAGTATTCCATTTTCAACACATAATATGTTGTATGGTACTTTGTACTTTGTAATAAGATAAAATTAAATTATGTTAGTTTGTGTTATAATGGGATTTATTGCAATAACAATCCTTATGGAAATACTAATGTACTTATTCCTTCTAATGCATTTAACATATTTTACTTTCCTTTATAACACATGCAACATGTTTGTACAAGAAATTGATTATAGATGTTACAAAACACATAACAAATTTTTTACTTAAGTATTTTTTAAATTTTTTACATAATCTTCTATATTCTATGAATATTTATAACCTTTTTAAAACCTTTCAAAACTTTTTAAAATCATTTTGGATTTTTTATAATTTTTTAAAAGTTTCTATAGAATATCCTATTTAAAGTTTATAATTCATATCCTTGATACAAAAAGATATTATTTTATTAAGTAGGCAATATTAGCAATCTTTTTTTTGTACTTCTTATGAACTCATGTTTCTTGCAATAGTACAAAAGACATAAATATAGTAATCAAGATAGATAATCTTGATACATAAGTAAAGGTCTATAACAACACAACAAAATTATTTAAGAAGATAGTATTTATGGCATTATAAAATCTTACAATTGAAAAACATTGAAATAATTTGCATTATGCCACCATTTGGAAGAGAAGATATTAATCTCAATTATGGATATTTGTACCAGGTGACTACATCTGCCTACAACAAAAGGTTTCAACAATAGTAGATGTCATTGCCAGTTGTATTATTTTGTAGATACAAAAGATGTTCCCAAGCGGGATATTTGAATTTGAAGATAAAGACAAATGGATTTAAAAAGACTACACCAAAAAGTGTGTCATATTTTATTTATTTAACATGAATAATTAAATTGATCTTAATTTAAGTTCAAAACCAATAAGTCTCAAGTACATTCTATATGGAAGAGCTCAACGAGCTGCTAATATGAATTTTTATCATTGCTATTCTATTGATTGACACATGCAATACTTGATATCTCTCCTAGATCAAATTCCTTATGGCACATCAAATTGCCAAAAATGCAAGGCATGACCTAAAGATTGTTGATAATATTGGTGGAACAAGAGACATTTAATGGCATGAAAAATAGATGGATGAGCCAATAAAATAGAAGCATTATTGATAGCATTGTTATATTGTGTATTTTCTTACTTGAGAATGTACCATGCACCAAAATATGGAAGGTAATTAGAAAAGCAACAACTATCCTACAAAGTCTAATAGAATTTTAAACAAACTTTAAGTAATTCTTAATAATCCTAATCAAATTTTAAACAATCCAAAATAAATTTAAAAGAAGTTACAAAAGAAACACAAAGAAGTCATAAATTAATTTCAAAGAAAAATAACAAGGAAATCTTAAAGAAATAACAATACTCTAAAAGAAATATTAGAAATAGAAACTTTTAAAAAAAAGACTAAAAATCCTAAATAAATATTAAAATAAAAACTCTAAATAAATCCTAAATAAATTCTAAGTTAAATCCTAATTCAAATTCTAATTGAATCCTATTGAACTATAGCCAAACTTTAGATCAAACCCTAATTAAAATCCTAATTAATCTTAATAAAATCCTAAATCAAATCTTAATAAAATCTTAATAAAATCCTAATAAAATCCTAAATCGTAAACTAGCTCTAATAAAACCTTAGTGAAATCCTAATCAAACCCTAGGAAAATTCTAATCAAATCCTAGTCAAATCCTAATCAAACCTAGAAAACATCCTAAATCCTAAGTAAATCCTAAACAAATCCTAAATCCTAATCAAATCCTAAATAAATCTTAATCAAATCTTAGATCCTAAACCAATTCTGATCAATCAATAATCAAATCTTAAATCTTAAACAAAATTCTTAACAATCCTATAGTAAATTAAAAATTCAATAATTAATGATTAAATCATTGATTTTGATTCAAACTTTGTATACCTTGCAAAAACTGCCTTAGCAACAAGCAAAAAAACTTTGAATAAGATCACACATACCATTAGCAAGAAAAATTCCCCAAACCTCTTCGCTGTTGGGTGCCCTCCTTCTCCAACTTGAACTTTGATCTTTCAATATAGATTTCTCTTTACTGAATTATTCAATTGCTCCACAATTTGAGTTTTATATAGATATTTTAGTCTAAATTACTTTCACCAATTTTTGCTTCAATTAAACTAGTAAATATTATCAAATTACAAAATCCTTCACTAATCCTAAATCTCAATTATTCAAGACCATTATTCCCTAAAAGCCCTCATACACTTCGATCTAATCACTTGATTGACTTTAAATTTCTCACATACATTCATAATGAGCACAAAAAAAAAAAAAAAAAAAAAAAAAAAAAAATCAATTTCCACCCATAAATATGCTATGAAACTTACAAAATCCTGAAATTTATAAACTTGTTTTTATTTCTCAAAAACCAAATCCACCAAGTACATCACTAATTTTGAAAATCTCCCAAAATCTCAATATTAATACAAATGACATGAAACCAATACTCAAAAATATCTCTTCTAGTTTGCTCTCAAACTTTACTCTTTGATTTGCAAAAGAACTCCGAAGTTGCCATAGATATGTAGTTTTAAGCCTTGGAATTTGATTTCAATTCAAGTTGACAATCAATTCTCTCTGGGTATCAATTTTTGATAATTTGAAGTAACTTTTGCTTTAACCTATTTTTAACTTTCTTTTAAACATGCTTACATTAATTTCTTATTTTATTTACCTTAGTTTGGCTCATTTATGCTCCTAAAAAGTAAATAGAAGTCTCTTCTACAAAAGTTAGTATTAAAATTAAACTTTTTTCTACCTTTCTATAAGTTAACATTGTTTTTCTACTACATCTTTCTACTAGGCTCTTCTATAATAACATCCATTTTTTTTCACCATATAATAGTTATACCACATGATAACATAAAGAGCAAGTAAAGGTAGCCTATTTGGCCATAGCTTTGCTTTGTGTTTTGCTTCCATTTAATTGTAATTATTTTTTTGTTTTGATTTACAATTTTATTGTATTATTTTATCTATACTAGGATTGTGACAAGGTGAATTATTACCTAACTTTGATGAATAGACTATAACTTTAGACCAAACAATGTATTTTGTATGAGATATAGCAATACACAATATTTACAATTTATACTATGTGAATAATAAATTTAATAAAAAAATGATATAAACTTATTTATTAAATAATTAAAAATTAAATTTATTTAAAAAATTTTAAAAACCATTTTATTGAATAAATAAACTAAAAAAATAAACTCAACCCATATATAATAATAATAATAATAATAATAATCTTGAATTTATTTCTAATTTAATCCACAATTATGTTAGGAATTTTTAAACATCAAATATGACTTTGCTACAAAATATTTTATATAAAAGATGTTTAAATCTTAATTAGATTATTAAAATTTAATAATTAAAATATTAACTTTATAGGTTAGTTTAAATATTAAAAACTAAATCAAATTATTAGGATAATTTTTTTAATTCAATAAAGTAAAGTAATATTTATTGATTGAATGAACAAATATATGTTTGAAATATAATTTAAAGTATAAATACATTAAGACTATTTTTTTATAAATCTTTAGTTTTTTAGAAATATTAAGAAACAGGTTATCAATATTTCTAATTAGAATTTTTCCCTAAAGAAGGATTCAGACCTCAAATGTATAAGAAATAAAAGAAATTCAAGCACCATTAGGATTCTTCTTTCATATTTTGTAGATCCTTCTTCATTTTAATAGAAAATTTTGTAGAAGATTTTTTAAACTTCTTGGATATTCTATAATTCATAAAATATCTATAAAAAGATTCTACAGAATCTAATACCATGGTATAAATAAAGAAAAAAATAAGAGACACATCATTTTTTTTGTATAAGTTTTAGAACCATCAAAGTATTTGCTTATTTTTAGTTTTGCATCTGATATTATTTATAATTTGATAGTTCATATATCATATACTTATTAATCTTATTAAAGAGTTTTTTTCTTGAGTACAAAAAAAATATTGTATTGTCTTATTTCAACATAAACATGGAAACATATCATTTGTGTTTTTGGTGTAATATATGTATAGATAATATTCAAAAAGATGTAATTGAGAATATGTAACAATATCTTAATTTTATAGGCTATGATTGTTCTTACCTAGTAGTTTGAAATGCAGTCTAAAGATCTTTACTTTGAAATATTTGAAATATGATGTTAAAAGTATTTTTTGAAATATTTTTGAGGTATGTGTAATTTTTTTGTACTATTTTTATATTTCAAATCTATAAAAATTAATTTATTATTTAATTTTATTATAAATAATCCTATTTTAAAATTTTATATAATTTTTAT